TAAATAACATCTATGCCCTCTTCTCATCTTTCCTTACAAGGATATTGGTTAAACAAATTCTACAAATGTGTGTAAATTATGCCTTAGAAGAAGCAACATAAATAAGTATATATCATTAAGGCGAGACTTAAGGGCCTTAAATTTTGTGGCTGATTCTTCTACAAATGTATTAGGTGAAGCCAGGCAGGAGGTTCAACCTATTTGTGCTTTGTTTTCCACACCTGCGTAGTGAGAGCACAGTACTAATTTACTTGATGTGGGTACTGTAAGGAGTGATTAAATTGATGCCTAAGTACTTTGAAAAGCTTGTGAAGCACTTGAAAGCAAAGCCCAAGTGCTAAATGAGAAGACTCACTCAGGATTCTCCTCCCCTTCTCTATCAGCTCCTATACTTTTTTGTCAACAACAAATGTGTCCATGAATCCACTCAATTAGTCTTAAGTAAAAAGGCTGTAATCATTGGCACGCAGGCACACAGGAGGCTTCTTCCCAGTGTACTTAGCCAGCTGGGCATTGAGAAAGAAGGGAAATGGAATTATTTTTCCTTTGAAAATTGCATCTGGCACCTTTTCCAATCCCTAGTCAGAGGGGCCCTGTTTATATTTCAATGGACGTGCACAGGCCAACACTTGTAAGCATTAGTTTGCTGACATCTCAGAGCTGCTGCTTTGCCCTTTAATTATGGAAGGCAGAATTGATGTTAAAATGTACCTCGGTCATCACCTTTGTAGTCAAATGAAAGAAGGGAGTCATTCAGTCTATGGCTCCATTGAATTTTTTTTTCTTTTCTCCTTGAACAATATGTTCTTTTCCCCCTTCCCCCAATTATGCCTTTGAGCTTGATGAGAAAAAGGCAAAAACAGCTTCCAGAAAAGAACTAATAATGGTAATAAATTTAGTGGGTATGAAAAAATAGGGATTTCTTAAATAAAAGGATTCAGAGCCAGAAGACCATGCCCTTCTCTGCTACAATGTACCTGTGTCTCTTAACTGCCCATTTCCTCATCTGCAAAATGAGAGCATTAGAGTAGGTCAGCAAATGAAGGGCTCATGGGCCATTGTACTTTAAAATAGAAAAACAATTCTTAGATGTATAAAAATCAAGTGGTGGGCCACTCAGGCAATGGTTTGCCAAATCCTGAACCAGACAACTTCTGAGGTCCTTTCCAATACCAAATCTTTTTATCTTTATAATTATTGACCCAAATAAGCATTCAATACAAAATTTAACCTTGACAAAATAATGCTGAGATGAAGATCTGTGCTCAGTGGAATCATCAGCTACCTTGATTATCTTATCCAATTATCTACTCATCATCTCCAGTTGTCCTGCTCTGTATCCTGCCACTGGACCTGGATGGTTCCAGAGGAGAAACTGAGGCTGGTGTCTTTGTTCAGCCCTCCCTCACTTAAATCCAATTCACTTACATCACCTCCCTGATGTCATGGTCCTCTTTGAGAGCAAAGGACAAACAACAACAGCAACTGAATACCTACTAGGCGTGTGTACCCCTAGTAGGTCAGCCAGAAATAGGTTAAAATGCCAAGAGTTTTATCCTTCCTATTTAGATACTATTTTTGAGGGGTAGGGGCAGTAAGTAATTTTCTTAGTATGCTAAACTGTTGTTGTTGTTCAATCCCATAAAACTCTTCACAACCTCATGGACCATGACACTCAGGGACCACACTGTCCACCGGATTTTCTTGGCAAAGACACTGGAATAGTTTGCCATTTCCTTCTCCAGTGGATTAAGGCAAGCAGAGGTTAAGTGACTTGCCCAAGGTCACACAACTAGTAAGCTACCTAGCTGCCTCCTTAGCAAAGAAGTTAAGTGACTTGCTCAAGGTCACATGGCTGGTAAGTGTCTGAGATCAGATTTGAACTCAGATCTTCCTGACTCCAGGCCCAGTGCTCTATCCATTTAGTCATCTAGCTGCTAAACTACCAGTTAGCAAATCATAGTATAGCAGGTTCAGGGCTTGCATGGTCCACAGAGATAATCAAGGGAGTTAGGGAGGGAATAAAGCCACTCATTTTATAGATGAGGAAAGTAAAGCTCTGTGAAATTAAATGACTTTCCAATGTCATAAAGGTAATAAATAGTAGTCTCATCAGCAATGGATCAGCAGTCACCTCTACTAGCTCCTTCCATATCCTGGTATGTAGTTTATATGGGCCTTATAATTAGGACTTGTTGACCAAATGGATTAAATCAGCAATATTATTCAAAGAGGTCACATTCTAGATTTTGGCTGCAGCATATATGCTAAAAACTGGAAAGTTCTATACAATGGAATTCCTGATGTAATTCCGTATAAATCTCTGATTAAATAGGCTGCAGAGTCTGCAGAGAAGTGATAGGTATCACAAAATAAAGTGTGATTAACCATGTACATGTCTTGAGAACAAGGGACTGTGTTAAATACTTCTTGGCATCCATCCACAGCATCAGGCATTTTTACTCTCTCTAGTCTATTTCACAGGTTATTGATTCACATGGCTTCCTCTCTCATCATCATGCAGGTAGTTTGATAATCTGTCTCCTTAGTCTCCATCCTACTTTTATACTCATGTGCACTAGATATTTCCATTTGAAGGACCTAAAGCCATTTCAAATGCAAACTAAACTGATCATCTCCTCCCTACCCTCCATAAGTTTCTTCTTTTAAAATTTCCTAACTCTGTCAATGACAACCCATCATCTCTTTCCTTTAATGCTGATAAGTCTCCCTCCCAAATTTCTTCTTTTGGAAGAGATGAATTGAACAATATTGAAGAAAGGATTTCACAGCAACATTATTATTTTAGTGAAAAACATTTTCCAACCATTTCTTTCCCCAGAGAATGATTGATTAATGAATATTGACAGTCAGCCCATTCAACATGTATTAGGACCATAGCTTTAATCCTAATGGCTTTTTCCAATCAAATGACCATCAAGTTTGGAGATGTCTTTTTTTTTTTGACGTGAGATATTAACAAGCCACCCTAAACAGGTTTTGTTCCATGAAACTCAAAGCAGTTAGTCATTTAAAATCCTGATAATGTCTCTATTAACGTTGGTGAGGATTTAGAAATTAAAATGAATTAAAACACCTTTTCTGGTGATTTATTTCCTAATTCCCTCCAAAATATTTGCCAAAATGGTAATATTTGAAATTACTATATGGCATATTTAAAACTCTCCCCCAAAATGAACTGAAAATAATTTTGAGAATTGCATTGACAAGCCTTGATAGTTAGAGATATCCAGGATGTCTTAAAACCAGGCTTAGAGGTTCATTAACACATAACTCAGTGAGAGTATTATCTGCCTAAATCCCTCTATGAAGTGCCAAGTATAACTTCAGGGTTTGGTGCAATGGTAAAAATATTAGGCTTGAGGCCAGAGGATCCTGGTTCAAATTCTACCTTTACAATGCTTTATCTGTTTGACCTTAGAAAGTCATCTAATTTCTTTGGGCCTCAGTTTCTATGAGGGGGTTGGACTAGCCCAATCATTCGATTTAGAAAGCACCTCCTACAGTTCCTGGTAATGCAAAGACAAAAAATGAAATGGTTCCAATTCTCAAAGTCCCTTCCAGCTTTTAACCCATGACCTCATGACTGATTATGATGATTCAACACACATTTCAACTCAGCAAATATTAAATGCTTAGTATGCACCAAACACTGAAAATTTTGCTAACTTCTGGAACAGATAGAAATGTTAGATAAGAATATATGGCTTCCTCCATCAAATTGCTTATAACCTAGTAGAAGAGATATACGTATAGAAATAAACATCATGCAAAATAAAGCATACTAAATATATGAGAAGAAAAAACAACAATGTGCTATGTAAGGACCAAGTAAAGAAAGATTAATTTCTGACTGGAGGAATCTGGGAAGGCTGAATTGAAGAAAGAGATGGTACTTGCCCAGGCTCTTAAAAAGAAGTAGGCAGAAATAGGGACCTTAGCACAGTGCCTGGAATATAATTAGTGTTTAATGAGTGCTTGCTTGCTTGATTAATGGAGGTGAGGTTAGATATTTCAGGCTAGTGGGGACATAGGGAATGTTTTAACAATGCTATTTGGTTAGGGCTTAGAGGATATGGTATAAAGTTGCAAGTAGCCTGATTTGTGCTCTGGTCAAGGTATGGTGTGTGAGATGCTCATCTGGGATGCTGCTGGGCTTCCAGGGAATAGAAGCACACCACTAGGACACCATGAAGTTAAATTACTAAAAGACTTGTCACTTCTGGGGAGTGAGGGGCAGAAGAATGGTTAGGAGCAAGAAAGGGTAGGAAATGTCTTTGGCTGGGGGTGGGGAGTGAAGAGAGAGCTGCAGGGACCTGGGAGATAAGAAACTCATAATGTTGCTACCTGTGCCTTCTGAATTTCCCATCTGTACAGAGGATGAACTGTTTCACAGTTCAAAGCTACCACTTGGAAAGTCAGGGAAGCATATCTTCAAATTTTGCATCCAGTACCCTTTAAGTTCTATACACTGGGGTAAGCCCTGATGGCTCCATGCTAGTTATGGCTCAGATGTTGTGGAATAAAGTGAAATATAGCTGGAAAGATAGTTTGGTAACAGACTGTGGCAGGATTTAAATGTCAGGCTAAAGAGTTTGGACTTTTTTGGAAAGTAGTCTGGAACCACTGAAGGATCTCAAGCAGAAGGCTAACATGACCTTATCTGTCATATCCATACATTATAAAACAAAAATCCCTAATCAGCAGTTCACTAACTATGTATAACAGAAAGCTTGGCCACTTCCATTGATAAAGAAGAAACAGTGTGCACAGTGAGTGGGTATGGACTTCTTTGAAGATAGGATTTCCCAGTGACATCCATGTCCAACAGAAAACGCTATGCCGAGAACGACCCTTGCACATCCTTCCACCCAAGTGGAATAGGGATGCAGACATTTCCACCACTTCCTTAGAATGATGACGTGTGTTTTCCCCTATGGAGCCTTATAGAATAGACTGCCCTTTGCAATGAGACTCACCTGTTTCTGTTGACAATCTTGTCCTTGTGCTTCTTTTCTCAAAAATCATGCTGAGGGATTTCCCTTGTAACAAAGGCAAATACTGAAAACCAAGGATAGGAAGTGAGTTATAAAACTATCAGCTGTATTTTAAACATGCTTTATAGAGTGAAGCAGTCAGAATAAACAATCTTTAAGTGATTAATACTAACTCTGCTTATTCTCCCTTCATAATATGTCCAAAACATTGAAAAAATAGGAGTTTTAAAATTATTTCACATCTTATAAAAAAGTGGTAGATTAAGGAAGAAGATGAAAGGCAGCAGCACCCTCCTCACCCCACCCCAGCCTCACCGCTAAAATTCTCAGTCATTTGAAGAAATTTTACTTGTGTTTCCAGGCTAGCCTTTAAGGATTAAAAATCATTCTATTTTTTCTTGACATCCCAATGATGATTTATATTTTATGAAGAACCAGAACATATCCCTCCCCATCCTATTGATACCCCACTCCTGGAGCTTCTTTCAAAAGGTGATATGACTTAATGGACAAATATTTATCAGCCTTCTCTACAACTCAGGAAACAAGCTGGGACTCTAATTTATGTCAATGTCTAAACCACAAAGTTTCAGATAAACTTTGTATAAACCTTAACTTGGGATAGGAAAGGGCTTGTTTACATATGTTTGGAAAGACCTGCTTGGAAGATAGGAGGGGCTCCTCCTCCTTCCTGTCCTGTGTGTAGATAACCAAGCAAAAAAGCCTCTGCTTTTTCTTTTCTTTTCCCCTTTCTTTTCTTTTCTTTTCTTTCCTTTTCTTTTTCCCTTTCTTTTTCCTTTTAGGACCCTTGCTAGGGAAGACTACCCAAGAGGACAAGTTAGTCTACCGTTCTGCTTAAGTTAAGTTAAGCTGTCAATGCCAACAATTGCCAAGGTTCTTATCTACAAGAGAAACCCAACCCACCAAAGTTTCCTCTGTTTCAAATCTCTGAAACTTGAATTAAAAGATTTAGGAGCAAATACTTTCTACTCTCTGTCTCTTTCTCTGTCTCTCTTCCTAGACAGACAGACAGAGACAGACACACACATACACACATACACACACACACACACACACACACACATCTGTATATGTTGTTTAATGGCATTGTGTATTGCCATTGCACTTTTTTTCATCCAGACACCCTTTAAAAAAAAGTTTTGAACACTTGGAATTAATTAGTCTTAGAACAGATAATGCTTTTGCTATTATTTAGACCAGGGATTCTTAACATTTTTGGTATCATGGACCCCTTCAGCAGTCTGATGTAACCTACAGGTCCCTTTTTAGAATGTTTGTTACCTACATTCACACTTGAAGGAAATGCTAATTTTTAGTTAGAGGTTAGAGAGATATGATTCCCTGCCACCCCTCCCCCACCTTCTATCCAAGTTCACAGACTTCCTGAAATCTCTCCATGGAGTCTTTTTTGGGGTCCCTGGATTCCAAGTCAGAAAGCCCTGACCATAGATTGACTGTCAAGCCACAGGTGTGACTAAAGAATGCCTAAAATGCTTTTCAAACATAAAGGGCTATGTAAATTCTAAATAAAGATAATTGTTAAACACCCATTTCCACTTCTTCTCACTGCCTCCTCTCTCTTCTTGGATACATGTGGCAATACTGGCCCTTTTTTTTTTTTCAGATATCTTCCGAATTAATTATATCTGTCAGAATATAATAATATAATAATATCTGTCAGAATAATATTAATAACTACTCACATAAATGTAGTGGGGATTTTAGAGTGTATGGATTGGACTAGATGACCACCAAAGATCCTTCCTACTCTGACATTCAGTGTTTTTACTTATTAAACACTGGGTTACTGAGTTCAATTGTTTCTGATTCTCCCCGTCTAGTCTGTTATACTGATTGCTCTCCCTATTTTTTTAACTAGTACCATATGATTTTGATAACTACTGCTTTATGACATACTGTGAGGTCTAGAAGTGCTATTCTTCTTTTGTACCTACCTCTTTTCATTCTTTTTGATATTCTAGATCTTTTGTTTTTTCCAAATGAATTGTTCTTTTTTAAATCAAATTCTATAAAGTATCCCCTCGATAATTTGGTTGGCAAAACATTAAAAGTGCACATTAACTTTGGTAGTATTGTCTTTTTTTTTTTATTCTATTGGCAAGGCCCAACCATGAACACTAAACATTCCTTTAGCTATTCAAGTTGTTTGTTATTTCTTTAAGGAGGACTTTGTAATTTACTCTATACAGGTTTTTGTGTGCTTTAGTAGATCCATTCCCAGATACTTTATGCATATTGTAGCTATGGGAATTTCCTTTTCTATTATTTCTTCTAGGGTTTTGTTAGAAACTGTCATTTAGAAGTGTGGTTGATTTCTGAGGGCTTATTTTATAGCCTGCAACTTTACAGAAACTATTATTTCCATTAGTATGTTTGCTTATTCCCTAGGATTTTATAAGTATATTGAATAAATAGGGATAGTTTTTTCTCCTCTTTATATATCTTTAAGCCTTTAGTTTATTTCTCTTGTCTTATTGTTATTGCTAGTATTTCCAGAACTGTATCAAATAATAATGGACAAAATGTATATCGTTGCTCTACTGCCATATTTATTGGAAATGGATCTACTGTATCCTCACTGTACATAAGGTTTGCTTTTGGTTTTAATTGGTATTTTTTATGATTTTAAAAAGATCCCTCTATTCCTATATTTTGTAGCTTTTTTTTTGCATGAATGTTGTACTTTGTCAAAGACTTTTTTCTGTATTTATTGAGATACATGTTCTGTATGTGTTAGATGTTTTTGTTTTTCATATGATAATGTTGTTTTCCTATTGTTGAACCACCCTTGCCTTCCTGATATAAATCAAACCTACCTACAAAAAACTCCCTATTTGATTAAAACTGTTGGGAAAACTAGAGAGTAGTCCGGCAGAAATTAGACTTAGTCCAGCACCTTACATACACCACATTCCACAGTGCATTTTAAATGAATATGCAACCTTAATACTAAAGATTATACTATTAAAAAAATTAGAAGAGAAGCAGATCATATACTTTTCACAACTATGTGTATGACATGTATTCTTAACCAAACAAGAGATAGAGGCAATTATAAAAGATAAAATAAATAACTTTGACTACATGAATGAAGAAAAATCTTTGTACCAAATTTCTCTGATAAATGTTTCATATCCAAGATATATAAATAATTAATAATTATGTGTGTATATATGTGTGTGTGTATATCTGTATGTGTGTGTGTGTAGATATATATGTAGATATATATATATATATATAGATATATATATATAGATATAGATATCTATATATATATCTATATATATATCTACACACACATATATAAATATATATTTCCCTATAGGTAAGTGGTCAAGGGATATGAATAAATAGTTCTCAAGAGAATTACAAATATTTACAACCACATGAAAGAATGCTCCAAATCACTAATAAGAGAAATGCTCATCAAAACAACACCAGCAATTGGTAAAGATGACAAAAAATGGCAATGCTGAATTCTGGAGTGGTGTGGGATGATAGGCACATTATTACATTGTTGAAGCTGTGAATTGGCACAACCATTTTGGAAAAAAATTTGGAATTATGCCACTAAGGTGACTAAAATGTCCATATTCTTTAACCCACAGATTCGATTACTGAGCTTATATCCCAAGGGAGCCATTGATAAGAAGGAAAGTCCTCATATACACCAAAATATTTATAGCACTTTTTTTGTGATACCAAGAATTGGAAACAAAGTAGATACTCTTCAATTAGGAAATGATTTAAAAAATTCTAGTGCACAAATGTGGTGGAATATTACTGTGCTATAAGAAATGATGTATATGATGAATACAGGGAAGCATGGAAAGATCTACATGAATTGATAAAGAGTAGAGTAAGGAGAGCCTCCCAAAACAATATATACCATGACTACAAGAAAGCAAATAGAAAGAATTACTTACAAAAATAAAAAATGAATGTAGCAAAATTATAAATCTGTAACATAACTCAAAAGAAGAGATAAAGAGAACACCCCCCCCAACATGGAGGTGAGATGTATTATGCATTGTACATATTTTCACACTTTTTCAATGTATTGATCAGTTGTAGTTATTTTTTTTCCTCTTCTCTCTCTCTCTCTCTCTCTCTCTCTCTCTCTCTCTCTCTCTCTCTCTCTCTCTTTAATATGGGATGGCTCTCTGGGAAGAGGAGGGGGAGGGATACTGGGAAAAACTATGAAGATATGAAAAACAAAAGATCAATAAAACCTTTATAAAAAAGAGATTCAGTGCTTCTGTGATCCTCACAGCAACCCTGTGAGGTAAGTGTAATTATCCCTATTTTATAGATGAGGAAATTGGGGCTTATAGAGTTTAAATGCCTTGATGAAGGACAGAGAGGTATAATAAGTATGTACGTGTATGTGTACACACATATATGTATGTGTATATATATATACACATACATATACACACATACATATACACATTTATGTGTGTAGGTATAATATATATAATTGTAAATTACACACATATGTGTGTATATGATTTGAAAGTGAAATGCAGAGAAATATGGTACTTTGATGCTTACAAATCATTTTAGATACATTATCTCATTTTATCTTGAAAGATTATCCAATGGAAGAAGGGTTACCCTTGTTCTTTTTGGTCCCAAGGGAAGTAATAGATGGAAGTACCAAGAAGGCAAATTTCTTTTTGATGGAAATAATAACTTCTAAACAGTTTGAGCTATATGGAAGTGTAGCAGATGGTCTCCTTAGCACAGGACTTCAAGCAAAGAACTGTTTACCTTGAGATCGTTGAATTTTCTCTCTCTCTCTCTCTCTCTCTCTCTCTCTCTCCTCTCTCCCTCCCTCCCTCCCTCCCTTTCTCTCTCTCTCTCTCTCTCTCTCATAATATATTCAGATTTGTATATACATTCTGAAACTGAAATTTAGAGAATGATATTTCTTTTTTTCATTTGGTAGGACATGAGGGGACATGAGAGAAGAGAATTAGTGCAAGAAAAAACAAAATGTTTCACTATGAATAATTTCCTTAGGTTCTGATCCAGTTTTCTAAAAATGAACTTGAATACTCCACACAAATGAAATCCTATAATTTATCATCAAGCCACTCATTTTGCTGCCCACAGTGTATTCATTTTCCATTCCAAAGTAACCAATCAGCTTATCTGAGTGGTTTCATTCCTTGGCTATATAATAGAGAAAATTTGATTCCCAGGGTTTACTGGGAAGGCTGCTATTGAGTAATCTTTTGTCTGTTAAGTTGAAAGCTTTATATACCTCTCCTTTCTGTTTTATTCTGTGCTTCAGATCTGCTGATAGCCAAAGCAAATACTTGATTTCTTCTCCTGTAAAATCTTTTAGAGTTAAGAGATGACGTCCTTTCAACTGGACATTGCTTTGTACTGATTTTCCACATCTGTATGGGAAACAAACAAACAAACAAAAGACAAAAGTACTTTTTTAAAAAACCTTAGTGATTTATCCTTTGTTTAAAAAAAAACAAATTAGAGTGACTGTCCCTTGATTTTGTGAAGTTAACATATTTAAATATAATTAGCAGAACTGTGGTTTAGAATTTGAATGATCACTGTGAAGGAGGGAGTGAATAATTGTGCTGTTATTAGGGTAATGTCTATTAACTGGGAAAATTTGTTCCTTTGTTACATTGTAGCTCCCATTTGACAGTGATTTCTATTGCTTGTCAGTGAAAATTAAGTACAACTAAGTGAAATTACATTCTATTAAAATTCATATATTACTATCACTCAAATAGTTGTCATAAAGGCTAATTATTAACCCTTGGGCCCAGTATGAAGGACAAACTACCTCTACTGATGGCAAAGTCTTCGATTGTGCTTATAAGTTTGCTCTGCTTTCACCCCATGCAATAGAAAAATGAAAAGTTCACTCACTTGTTCTGTCATTAAGAAATCAGAATGCCATTTTGATGGATTTTACCACCATATTAACCAATTTGTTGACTAAATTATTGGTTGGTTTAAAAAATTGGTTTGTTCTTTGGTGTTTGCCTCTTTTTGTATCCCCAACACTTAAAACAGTGCCTGGCACCTAGTGGCACTTAATAAATGTTTATTGATTGACCGAATATTTACAAAAATATAAATTGCTCAGATTAATACAACAGTTAAATAACTTTTTCTTAGAAAAAAAATTTAAAAGCCATTAAAAAAACCTTCCCTTAAAAAAAAAAACACAGAGCAGCTAGGTGGCGCAGTGGATAGAGCACCAGCCCTGGATTCAGGAGGATCTGAGCTCAAATCCGGCCTCAGACACATAACACTTACTAGCTGTGTGACCCTGGGCAAGTCACTTAACCCCATTGCCTAGCCCCCCCCCAAAAAAAAAACCCTGGGAACTTATGGATTTATGAGCAATTCTACCAAATATTTAAAAACAATTAATTCCAACTATTTGGGGAAAAATAGATAAAGAAGGAGGCCTATCAAACTCCTTCTATGACACAAATATGGTGCTGATACCTAAACCAGTGAGACTCAAAAAAACTATAGATTAATTTCCCTAATGAATATTAAAACAAATATGTTCAATGAAATATTTGCAAGGAGATTGCAGCAATATATCACAAAGATCATATGCTATGACCAGTCTGAATTTATACCAGGAATGCAGGACTAGTTCAATATTAGGAAAATCCTTAGTATAATTCGCCACATTGATAACAAAACCAACAAAAATAATATGATTATTTCAATAGCTGCAGAAAAAGCTTTTGACAACATATAACACCTATATCTGTCAAAAACCCTAGAAAGCACAGAAATAAATGTACTTTTCTTTAAAATTATAAGTACTATCTATTTAAAACCAAGAGCAAGTATTATCTATAATTAGGATAAGCTAGAAGACGTTTCAATAAGATCAGAGGTCAAGCAAGGATATACATTATCACTATTACTATTCAATATCTAGTCATACAATAAGAAAAAGAAATTAAAGAATAAAAATAGACAAAGAAGAAACAAAGCTATCACTTTTTGCAGATGATATGATGCTTACTTAGAGAACTCAGAGAATCAACTAAAAAATTAATCGAAACAATTAAAAAATTCAGTAAAGTTGCCATATATAAAATAAACCCACATGTGTCATTAGCATTCCTATATATTATCAACAAAACCCAGGAGGAAGAGATGGAGAAATTCCATTTAAAATAACTAGACAGTATAAAATACTTCAGAGTCTACATGTCTAGACACACACAGGAACTATATAAACAATTATGAAACATTCTTCACCTGAATAAAAAGATTCATATAAATGGAGAAATATTAATTACTCATGGGTAGGCCAAGCCAATAATAAAACTGACAGTATTACCTAAATTAACTTACTTATTCAGTGCCATACTAATCAAAATGTTAAAGAATTACTTTATAGAGCTAAAAAAAATGACAGAATTCATCTGGAGGAACAAAAAGTCCAGCATATCAACAGAATCAATGAAAAAAAAATGAGAAGGAAGGGGGCCTAGCAATATTGGATCTCCAATACTACAAAAATTTTATTGTCAAAACAATTTGGAACTGGGTAAAAAATAGAGTGGTTGACCAGAGGTACAGATTAGGTATACAATATACAGAAGTAAATGAGCACAGTAACCCAGTGTTTGAGAAACCCAAAGACCCAGGCTACTGGGGCAAGAATTCACTATTTGACAAAAACTGCTGTGAAAGCTAAAAAGCAGACTAGCAGAAATAAGGCATAGAAAAACATGTCATACCATGTAGCAAGATAAACACAAAATGGGTACCTGATTTAGTCATAAAGGATAATGTCATTAGAAAACTGGAGTAATTACCTGTCAGATCTATGGATAAGGGAAGAGGTCATGACCAGGCAAGAGACAGAGAGGTCCACAGAAAATAAAATGGATAATTTAGATTATATAAAATTTTAAAAGTTTTAGTACAGACAAAACCAATTCAGCTAAAATTAGTTGTGGGGGAGCAAGAAAGTGGTTTAGGATAGAAGACCATTTATAAAATCTTTTGGAACATAGTGGTAGGTTATGAGCATAATCTCATAAAGAGTTTTTTACAAGTGGTGGAGGGAAAGAGACATTTACAGAAAGCTTGTCAAGGGACACATTTAAGTGAGAACATCACAAGAACATTTAAAAGATAAATGTGAAAGGAAGGCAATCAACAAATGAAAAGTGGGGAAAAAAAGCTAGAGTAAATTATTTTCTCCATCAAACACAATATAGATTCCACATTTGGACTCTAACGTCACAGTCTCAAATGCACTGTGTGGGGAAGTAGGTAGGTAGGTGGAAATAGATAGATAGACAGACAGATAGACATACTACTTAACTATGTGCTAAGCACTGTGCTAAGTGCTGGGGATACAAATAGAAACAAGGAAGACGTTTCCTACCCTCCATGAGCTTACATTCTAATAAAGGAAGACAACACATAAGTGAAAGCTTCATGGGGTACATTCATGGTAGCACGTTTTAGAGATGGTAGGAAGTGACAAGCGGGTCTTTTTTTCCTAGAAAGATAATCCAAAAGTTTCCTTGTCAGAAGCTGGGGACGTAGGGTTGAAGTCCAAGGTAGCAGTGGGAGGAGATGAGTGTGGACAGCATGATAAGGCAATAGTCCAGCAGAGGCATCAAAGGAAGGAAAGATGGGAAGAGCAGCTGTCATTTCAGCTGTGTCTGACTCTTTGTCATGCCATTTGGGGGTTTCTTGGCACAGATACTGGAGTGGTTTGCCATTTCCTTCTCCAGCTCATTTTACAGATGAGGAAACTGAGGCAAACAGGTTAAGTGACTTGCCCAGGGTCACACAGCTAGTAAGTGTCTAAGGACAGATTTGAACTCATGAAGATGAATCTTCCTGACTCTAGGCCTGGCACTCTAACTGCTGTGCCATCTAGCTGCCCCTAAAGAACAGCTAGATTAAGCCAAATAAACACAGAGTATTCTTACTACCTCTGTGACCTTGGGCAAGTCTCTTTGGACTTCTGTTTCCTCACCTGTAAAAAGAAAACATTGGATTAGGTGATCTCCAAAGTCCCTCCTTTTCAGGTCTAGATGGATGATCCTGTAAGGCTCAGACCCAGGTCTGTGATGGAGGTAACAGAATAAACATAAGGATACTGAGGGAATCAGTTCTCAAAATATCTGGGAGAGCAACAAATACCAAATACTTGGGGGTAAATAATAAACATGATCACCTTTAAGTAAGGTGATGAAAAAATTAATAACTACTGGCTCATATGCCCATTTTTCCACTATAGAAAATAAAATAATCTACACACATATCAAAGTTGGGCAGGTAGGTGGTACAGTATATACTGCACTAAGCCTTAAGTCAGGAAGACTAATCTTTGTGAGTTCAAATCTGACTTCAGGCACTTACCAGCTATGTGACCCTGGGCAAGTCACTTAACCCTATTTGCCTCAATTTCCTCATCTGTAAAATGAGCTGGAAAAGGCAAACCACTTTGGTATCCTTGCCAAGAAAACCCCAGAGGGGTCACAAAGAGTCACACACAGCTGAAGAATGACTGAACAGCAGCAACATGTTAAAGTCAGCCTTAATAGCAGCACAAGGAAAAAAAAAAGTAGGCTTTCACAAACAATATTCCATAGTAGATCATGTCTTTACAATCAAGTAATTGACTAAAAGAGTACAAGATTCCACTGTGCTTATTGTTTATAAACTATTGTTGGCTTCGTTGCTAGATCTTAGAGGAAGGGTTTTACAGAAAAGCCAGATGCTAGAAGCAGTAGACCCTTTAATTGGGCCTGCAATATAATATTCTGGAGGTTGAAGGAGATAGGATTTTTTTTTAATTTTTAAAAAATTTTTAATGGGGCAATGGGGTTAAGTGACTTGCCCAGGGTTACACAGCTAGTGAGTGTTATGTGTCTGAAGTTGGATTTGAGCTCAGATCCTCTTGACTCCAAGTCCAGAGCTCTATCCACTGCCCCACCTAGCTGCCTAAAAGGAGATAAGATTATAGCCAAGAATCACCTACCCAGCAAAACTCAGTATAATCCTTCAGGGGAAAAAAATGGTCATTCAGGGAAATAGAGGACTTTCAAGCATTCTTGATGAAAAGACCAGAGCTGAATAGAAAATTTGACTTTCAAATACAAGACTCAAGAGAAGTATGAAGAGGTAAACAGGAAAGAGAAATCATAAAGGACTTATTAAGGTTGAACTGTTTACATTCCTACATGGAAAGATGATATTTGTAATTCATGAGATCTTTGTCAGTATTAGGGTAGTTGGAGGGGAAAAAAATTATATGTGTAGATACATCAATAGATAGATGGCATGGGGTGAGTTGAAGATGAATGGGGTGATGTCTGGAGAATAAAATTAAGGGGTGAGAGAGGATTATACTGGGAGAAGGAGAAAG